GAGGGTGTAAATCTTTACGGGAGTAGAAAGCCTCATCTTTCTCCCGCGGAGCAGCTGGTAGTTTTGAACCGCTGACCTTAAGGTTCGCAGCCCGATTCGTAACCACTACGCTACCAGAGCTCCTAGGTCAAATGGGTACTATCTGCAAATTTGGGTGTTCTTGTGCCTCTCCCCTCACTTCATACCAGCTGGATGCTTCACTCTCAGCTCTAGCCCTCTGTGGCTATGTCCTTGTCCATGGGCTCAGGTGTCCCCAGGTCTCACCACACATTGGACCAGCAGCCCTTCCTCTTCTCTCTCTCATCTCCAGGTCAACAGGAGTCAATGAACTGTGGTGGAACTTAGCCCATTTCTTCATTACTGCCTTTTTCCACTCTTCCACTCACCAGTAGACCAACGTGCTCGCCAGCAAGCTTACATACCTGCTCATGTGTTCCCTTTGAGTTTCCGTCTTAGACGGGGGTTTGTCCTGAAGGAACTTGATTGTTTGCCTTGATGGATGGCTTCCCGATGAACAGCTTGCTTATTCTTCTAGTAGCCAGTTATACTGCCATCTTTGTTTTGGGTTTTTCCTGATGATCTTTCTTTGAAGATGTGTCTTCTATTGCTCTAGTTATTCCAGGCTGGTCTGCTTGTCCTTTCTAATGGGAATGTTCCACCTCAGAAGGTTCTGGATGGGACTCAGGATTCCACTTAATGTCCTATACTCTGCAAAGGCTCCACAAGAGGCCTGATTCACTAGGCAAGTTCTAGAACCCCTTTTAGGTATTCCAATCAGTTATAGGCTGAAGACGGGCTTACAAGCTTTCTGTAATCATGTTTCCAGACATTCCTTTCTATGCCACTCAAGTGTCTATTTTACAATACTAGGCAAGGGAAACCAATATTCATAAGACAGTCAAGCACTTTAGTATTATTTTCCCTCTTCAAACTATGCCTAGATCCCTGTATCACAGAGCTGTTCCAAGGTTAAGCATGCATCACTATTTACCTCTGTCCCACTTAGGCCATGCAAACCTGTCTCAATGTTCCCCTATCTTGTTCTTCCACCTCCTCCCCCTTCTTATATTTCCCTTCCTAACACCTGAAGTATGATGTGTCTGCCTTTATGCTGTGCTTTCCCATTGCCTCCCTCCACCTCTCCCGAAACCTCCCACCCCAACTCCGCCGTTGTGGTTACCTTTTATTCCATTAACTTTTCCCTCCATTTTAGACAGTCTGTAATCTACCTGACCTTCCCACCACCTAGATCTCTGTTCTTCTGTGTTTACCTTCTTTCAGTTTGTAATTGTTTTGACCATAGACTGACCTCCCAGATCTTCTGAATTTATTCTTACAGTTTACTCTGTTCTCGACTTTTCCATTTGTTGATTGACTTCTGGGTGATACTGCCATGCACATCAGTCTCTGGTTGTTGTCTGTTCTTGTTTCTCTGTTCACAGAACTCTCTAGGATGTTTTTCATTGCAGGATTGGCTTTGGCAAAATCCCTTAGCTCCTGTTAATCCTGAAATGTTTTG